TGCCTGAACACACAGCCTCGTGTTAGCAGCTCTACCCGCTGCCTGTATGATATGGGATGAAAGAAATAACAATCTTTTTACTATTCTGGCTGTCCTGTCCTGTCCTGTACAAATACTGTACAAAGGCAGATAGATAAACTCCACAAAGCATCCATACAAAGTCTCTTTTATTGGTTCATCAGGCATCCTTATTAACTCACAGTTATGATGAGATTCTTCTTAATGTCCAATCCTTTGCATATCTGTCTTTATGGGTAAAAAGATGGTTATCTCTTTCATCCCATAATTGTAGAGGCAGGGGGTAGAGCTGCTACCAGAGGCTGTGTGTTCAGGCAAGGGTGAAGAAACCTCCCCCAACCCACCAAGGGTCAATTCAGTGACCAATCAGGGTTACAGATGTGACCACATGACATGTACTACATTTCCCAGGATACCTTAACTACATTTACCATGATGCATTCCCTTAAGGGAACAGCTCTCAATTCCTAACTAACTATCCTAAATCCCATTAACTCTAAACTGTCTGGACAGCACATAGAGTATTCCAGACATTGACCACTCTGTTGCTGAAGTCGTATTTCCTGCAATCAAGTTTGGTGTGGTTTACCTTGAGTTTGTTTCTATTGTGTGCTCTAGTATTGTTATGGTCGAAGTTGAAGTCTTCATTGATAGGTAGGACATTGCAATATATAATTAATTTATATATTAATTTATAATTAATATTAATTTAATTTATACATCTGTGTAAAATATACCTAAAAGAAATCATCAATAGAATATTTTCTAAAATGTACATTAATCTCATTGTAATATTCATTTTGATAACATTAATTTTGCCCCCAAAACTTAATAGGTGTTTTAACCTATCAAGTTAAATCTATTGTATCTATAATTAGAATTCATTATGTGCCATCACATTAGTATTAACTTTTACCAATTTTTTTCCATGGAGATTTTCTCCAAACTCAATTTGGTCTTTCATCTCGTCTAACAGTGTGCTCATTGCTACTTTATAATCCATTCAACTTGCTCCTGGTTATTCTCTTTCCTTTCCTTTCTCTACTTTTCCTAGCATTAGCACCTTCTCCAGAGAATCTTTGCATATATCCAAAATAGGGCAATACACTCTTGGTGTTCTCCCAGGAATATTCTCCCACCCACCCACCCCCAGCCACAATGAGGCAGCATAGCAGGACTGTAGACTTAATTATTTCAGTGTAGTGTGATATATCAAGACATGAGCTTATGGGTAAATGGCTGCTCGTTTTCTGGTACCCTATCCTGATATTTCTCTACTATTTCTATCCAGTGTCTTCAGAGGTGAAGGTATCTGCTCTGTACTGTACTCCTTAGTAGCTCACAAGTATAAGGGGCTGACTGGACTTCTCTACATGTAACAAAATGATCTGGCTTCTGATTGATCTTTATAGTCAAACTATTCTCTGATTATGTTACCTAATTTTGGTAATGAAACATCTGCAAAAAAGCAACAAAGCTCAGGAACACCAAGGAACCTTTAAACTATTCTCTAATTGGACTTTTCAAAACTATTCTCTAACTGGATCCCTAGAAAACAAAGACTCACTTTGGTTGAAGTGATAGATTCCTTTACTAAAGATCAGTGGTTGCTGTGAAAACAAGGCTAGATCTGAGTATTCCCACACAAAGGTTAGAGTTTTCCCTTTCCCTGGCCCTCTTCCCATGACCAGTTTGACTGTGTCCAATGGCATCCTGGTATGATGTTTTGGGAACTGCTGTGATGTCAGGCACTTTTCAAAGTAATTTCACATTCTTTCCCAGGGTAAGCGTCCTTGGGCAGCTGGATTATTCCAGTTTAACACCTCTGGTTCCTGTCAGCGTATTTCCCTCTCCCTTTCCATCCTTCTTTCCTCCTGCTCAAATTTCTCAAAATTCCTTCCCTCCCTTTCCATTTTTGGCAGGATGCCAACAAAGCAAAGTAAAGCAGCTGAAGATGGCAGACCTGACACAAAAGTTTTAGGCAGTTGTGTAAAAATGCTATAAATTAAAAATGCTTTCAGGAATATAAGTGTTAATAATTTATTTTTTATCAGTTAACAAAGTGGAAAGTAAATGAACAGAAGAGAAATCCAAATCAAATTAATATTTGGTGCGACCACCTTTGCCTTCAAAACAACATCAATTCTTCTAGGTACACAGTTTTTGAAGGAACTTGGCAAAGTTCTTTCAAGGTTGTTCCAAACGTCTTGGAGAACTAACCACAGATACTCTGTTGATATAGGCTACCTCAAATCCTGTCTCTTCATGTTCATCCCAAAGGTGCTAAAATGATGTTGAGATCAGCCTAACCATCACTTCCAGAACTTCCCATTCTTCTTTATGCTGAAGGTGTAATTCTTAATGACATTGGCTGTATGTTTGGGGCTGTTATTCTGCTGCTGTAGAATCTGGGGCCAATCACATGCCTCCCTGACAGTATGGCATGATAGATAAGTATCTGCCTGTATTTCTCAGCATTGAGGACACCATTGATCCTGACCAAATCTCCACATCCATTTGCAGACAACTCCTTTACCATGCTTCATTGTTGCCTGCAGACACTCATTATTTTACCACCCTCCAGCCCTTCAGTGAACAAATTGCCTTCTGCAACAGCCAGATATTTCGACTCATCAGTCCAGAGCACCTGCTGCCATTTTTACGCACCCATTCATATTTTTGTGCATAGTTGAGTTGCTTAGCCTTGTTTCCCCATCAGAGGTATGGCTTTTTGGCCACAATTCTTCTATGACGACCACTTCTGGCCAGACTTCTCTGAACAGTAGATGGATTGCACTGGTTTCTACCAGTTCTGTGCTGATGGCATTGACAGGCAGAGTCTTTCATCTGCTGCACTAAGTTTCCTTGGCTGATCACCGTGTCTATGCCCCTCAATGTTGCCCATTTCTTTGTGCTTCTTCAAAAAAGCTTGAACAGCACATCTTGATACCCCAGTCTGCTTTGAAATCTTTGCCTGGAAGAGACTTTGCTGATGCAGTATAATTAATGTCTTGTCCCTGTGCTCAATTTTGACATGTGTATAATCTGACACGAAACCGTCTTCCACAAGTTTACTTAGGACTGTGCTTCCCCAAATATATGACCTACCCCAAAAGTAAGTCCTAGCTTTTACATGTGCACCCAATATAAACCCTACCCCCCAAATAAGCCCTAATTAAGACCCACCCTACTCCAGAGTGCACTCATAAAAACTAAGCTAGGGTGGGGATGGGGGGATTGGAGTTGTCCTACTACTTACCTTTGGACAGTTAAAGCCAGGTCTCACACACCCCAACACCTGCCTTACTGGCCCATTTCTTCTGCAGCTGCCAAGGCTTTCCTGAAGACCTCTGCAGCCAATAACAGAGCTCCAGATCAATCCGGAGCTCTGTTATCAGCTGCAAAGGCCTTCAGGAAAGCCTTGCTGGCCTTTTGCTGGCCAAAAAAGTTCCTGAAGGGCTCTGACAGTGGAAAGGAAGCTGGGGGAGACGCATGCAAGTGAGATGGGTCAGTGGAAGTCTCCCCTCCCAAAAATAAGACCTGGTGCTTTTTTTTGATGGTAAAATATATACTGTATATTAGACAGGGTCTTATTTTGGGGAAAACATGGTATCAGAATGTGGCTGTTCCTCACCCAGTTTTAAGCCTCCTACATAGCTGTCTCTGTTTCAGTTTATGACTATATTTCAACCTACATATGAAATTGATGATTATTAGTACCTGCTTGGTATAATTGGTTAATTGTATACTTAACTCTAACTTTATGAAATCCCCTACTTTGTGCAAGTGTGCAACTGTAAGAATTGATGCTGTTTGGAAGGCAAAGGCTGGTCAGACCAAATATTGTTTTGATTTTGATTTCTCTTTTGTTCATTTAGAAGAAGAACAAGTTAAAGAAACTATGATTGCTTGGGGGAAGAATTTTGGATATGGGATTGATTTAGAGAAATGGCAAAAATTGTGGTCTCAAAATTATAAAATGACAATGTCAACAGCATATAAAGAAAATTTGTGTAAGATGTTTTACAGGTGGCATTTTCCCTTGATAAGAATAGCAAGAATGTTCAAGAATAAATCCAAAAAATGTTGGAAATGTCATCAGACACCTGGCTCATATTACCATATGCGGTGGACTTGTGCGGATGGCAAAAAATACTGGACTAAAATCCACACGTGGTTGGAGAAAATGACGAAAGAACACATAGACTTGAAACCAGAGATATTTTTATTGGGAATTTTACCTGAAATATATAACAAAGACTTGAAATACCTGATTGTAAATGTATTAACAGCGGCTAGGATTGTATTTGCTAAAAACTGGAAAAATCACAGGAGGAAATAATTAAAATATTGGAATGTGCTGAAATGAGTAGATTGACATTTGAAATTAGAGAACAAGAGGATAAACAATTTTATAAAATTTGGGATCTTTTCTATCAATGGTTAGATAACAAAGTACAGTAATGAAATATGTAGATTTCTAGAAAATAATAATTATATAAAGATGTACTCTTTTTTTTATTATAACTACAAAATGATTTTAGGATAGATTTGGGATGATAATATGAACTGTTATACAATAAATTTAGCAAATTATGGTTATCTTGTAAAACATAAATGAATAAAAGTATAGTCAAATGATTAATAATGATACTAAGGTATTTAGTTTTTGATTGACAATATGAGATTATATGTAATGTAATTGTAATTGAGACTACGAAATGGAAGCACAAAACAATTTGTAAACTAACCGGCATGCTATATGTACACCTATGTAAGACAGCTTGATGTTTTATGTTTTGATTGCTTATGTTTGTTTTTAAAAACCAATAAAATCTTTTTTTAAAAAAAAGAATTTCACTTCTTTATTAATTGTTCTTTACCATTGGGGGGTGTGGGGAGAAGCCATTACAAATGATTTTTGACTCTTATTTTCGTTTTAAGCATCATAGTGTAATGTTTTTGCTGTGGGAAACAAATACTAATCACACTGTATAAGATTGAGACACAAAACACATAAAATTCCAAAAATGGGTTGATGGAAATTTACAATAAGGAATAAGGTGGAGAAAGGACAAAGTGTGGTCAATCCATGTTTCTTCCATATATCTGAAAATTGTCTGCTTATGGACCCAGTAGTTTTTCCTTCACCTGAGAAAAAGAGAAGAAAAAGAATGAGCAGCAGCTATTTATTTATTTAAACAATTTACAGTATAAGGCTTACGTTGCTTGAATAATTGAGTGGCTCACAATACATTAAAACTATACAATAATGCCCCCCGAAGTATAACAAAGGTCCACACCTCCATTCAAACAATAGCAGAGGGATATTTCCAAGTTCATATTTATATATGTTGACAACAGCAAGATTACTTTATATGCCCAAATTTGGACATTTTGATTTCCACAATGGATGAATGGCTGCAAAAGTTGATGGAGTTAGAAGCCATGGCTAATTTGAGTGTTATTGATCAAAGAAAAGAATAAGTACTTCTGTTTCTACTTGAAAACCGCTTCTGGACTTTGTGCTTGAGGTGAAAAAAAAATTAAACTTTGATTTTGGGTTTTCCTGTTTAGATAGATTTGTTATAGAAATAGTTAGTTTATACTATTATGGAAAAGTAAAAAGTTGAGGTTTGATGTTAATACATTATTCTACTGCACCAGAGGGAGTTGGAAGTTAATGCCTTCCCCCCACCTCTTTTCTATACGTCTCTCTTCTCCTTTCCTTCCCTATTGTTCCCTACTTGCTTCTTTTATTATAAGCTAATAAAAAACTGTAAAACAGAACAAAAGTCCACACCTGTTATCATGCAGTTATTCAACTTGGCTACTTAACATTGTGATTAAACACTTAAAAAAATGCCTAGGTCTTATTTAATATAGATAACAAATATTGATGTAAGAAATTATGTATAACATTGCATAGTTCGTTACATCAATATTTGTTATCTATATTAAATATTTAAAGTATATATAGTTGATATGCAGTGTCTGTTAGTATACCACATACAGGTATACAGATAGTCTCAACTTTTGATTGGTCTCTTAGACCCCGAAAAACCTTGTTATGACCCAAATCCAAAATTTCAATATCTGGCCCACCCAGAGGTCATGTTCCTGGGCACTCAGCAACCAGCCCCCATTTACAATTGTTTGCAGCTCCCTGTAACACCATGGTTTATGATGTTTATGCTGGAAACTGGCATTTACTTTCAGTTTCTGGTAAAAATACCCCATAGAGAACAATGGCTTTGTTTAATGACTTCGTGTTTGTGGCGGTCATTGCACTGCAAACAAAGTAATAAAATCGGCTCAGGTCATGTGGGGACTTGCTTTATAACCATCACAACCTATGACTGTAATTGTGAGGCTCAATAACAGTTGTAACTTGAGGACCTGCATGATAGAGGAGATATGAAGTGGGGGGTTGTTGCCAGTGTCTGGGAAATGCAGTGTACACTGCCCCCAAATATCCCAAAATCTGGTATTACAGCTGCAAGAAGAAACACTTACCTAGCTTCAATGTCCCGGGAAGAGGTAGAACTTTTTGGTCAAGGTGTTTCTGTCCCTTGAGGGCATCTGACATGGGTTGTTTGCAAAGTGCTGCTGCACCTGTAATATGGAAGGTACAGAAACAAAGGCTGGCGAGTGCATGTCCAAGAAAGTCAATTTAAAAATTTAAAAATCAGTAATATTTTATCAGCTTATACCTGCTCACTTTACTAACTAGACATTGTAGAACAAGGGTGTCAGACTCAAGGCCCATGGGCTGGATCTGGCCTGCGGGATGCTTAGATCTCGCCCGCGGTGCCGCTCTGGAAACAGCAAAGAACCAGTCCACGGTGCCTCTGCCAGCAAAAACGAAGCTAGGGGAGGTCATGTGTGGCCCTCCCAGGCTCTATTTTCAGCTGTGATGGCCTCCTGCAGCCATCTACCATGAAAGCGGAGCTCAGGGAGGCACATGGCCTGCTTGGGCCCCGTTTTTGGCCACAACGACCTCCTGCAGCCCTCTGCCAGCGAAAACAGAGCTCGGGGAGGCTGCACAAGCTGGCCATAGCTCCCCAGGTCAAATACAACCCTGATGCGGCCCTCAGTGAAATCAAGCTTGATACCCCTGTTGTAGAAGAATCAGATTAGACTGCAGTAACCAAAATCAGAGTCAATTGACAACTTTTAAAACTAATGATTAAGGCATAGCATAATATAGTTATTAGTTGAGTGGTGTTGGTAATCCGTCTGACATGGAATCTTCATCTGCATAACCACCTTCCTTTTGCCCTCATCTCAATCTACTGAAATTCCACATCAGTCAAGTAACTCCATGGACCTGACGTAATGAATTGCAGTTCACAAAAGCTTATCTCTTAAAATAAAGTTGTTAAGTCTTAAAAGGTCTTAAAGGACTCTTAGAATGGAATGCTTAATCGACCTTGAAACATAGAGGAAGCAGCAAGATCTTAAGGTAGGAAATGGGTCTGTGACAAAACACATTTTTGAATAGGAAGAAAGCATTAGAAACAGACTCAGAGTAACTCCATCTTAAGTATATTTAATCATATAGTATGGCTGTATTACTATTATCCTTCTCATCTGTTTCTACTACCTTATTATTGTGATTATTATTACAGGTAGTCCTAGACTTACAAGTTTGTTTAGTGACCATTCAAAGTTACAATGGCACTGAAAAAAGTGACTCATGACCATTTTTCCTTAATTACTAAGGAAAAAGGAATGGGAACAAAAAATAAATACATGATTTAGGGCCATCACACCTCCTAATGCCATTCCAAAGTGAGTCTTTAATAAAAGAACTTCATTCCAAACATGAGAGCCTTGTGTAGAAAGACTTGAGCAGACCTACCTTCCGGAAGACCTCTTCCAAATTGCAATTCCAGGCATGATTCTTGATATTTTCTATTAACTGGTTGATGAAGAGTGATCCAGTTTCAGGGTGTCTCCAGGATACATGATCTAAACAGACAACAATGATTAATCAATAATGATTCTTCACGATGTCAGACTTCATTCTCTACTTAACAAACTTTAAACCTATACAAATAGTCTTTGACCTATGACAGTAATGGAGCCTGCCCATTACTGTTGCAAGTGATGATGGCTGTTGAACGAGATGGTCTGGCTTAGCAACCATCATCCCCTGGTCTCCCTGATGCAGTCATATGAACACGTAGATCATTAAACAGAGAACTTCAGGGGGGTGGGGGGGAGACCCTGAGATCTAATGCAGGCCCCAGCCCACCCGCATTCAGCCTCCCAAGACCTCCCATTCTCCTAAGATACCTTATAACCTATTCCTGTGTGATTACCCAAGGTGGGGATACAAAATAAACACAGTCACAAAAACCCAGTGAAGCCCCTTTTATTCCTTCACGTTGCTTCCAAGCTCCAAATATCCTTGACGGAAGACAAAAAACTCCCACAAGCAGTTACAAGAAGGAGGGAAAAAAACAACACAAACCGGGCAAGATAAGGGCTGGAGGATGTCCACAGATAACAGAACACACACTGGGAATGACGCCAAACTCAGAGATGAACTATAAATCAGAGATATGTCCACACTTTGTTTCCAGCCTTCGCCTGTACACATGTCTGTTCTCTTATTCAGTTGTCACAGCTGCAGCACATGAAGAGGATCAAGGCCCTCTTCTCCCAAGTAGACCACGTCTCTTCCTTATCCTCTCCTCCCTGCATACCCTAGGATGGAGAGGGGATGGGCCTGGGTCCTCCTCTCACTGCTCAACCGGCCTCTATCCTTCCTCAGCCACCTCCACAACCTCCGGAGCCACACTTCCACTCCCTGTCGGCTGTTCCTCCTCTCCCTCAGTCAGTCTCCACCAGGAGCATGACATCCTGCTCCTCTTTATCCCTACATTCCTTGGACCTACTTTCCCCTCTCCACCAGGTATCCATAGGTTTTCTCCCAGGTCCCTTGCAGGGCTTGGTCTCCTTCCAACCTCGCATTTTTCACTTACCTTTTAAAAATCTCTAAAGGTTTTCTCAGTGCTGTGCAGACCACATTAGAGAAGCAGAATGGAGCGCTCCATTCCCAGAAGCACAGGGGTGGGATTCTACCGGTTTTGACTTGTTCTATAGAACACCTTGTTAACTTTCTAAGCAATTCGGAGAACCAGTAGTTAGAAGAAATCTTTTGTTTTTTTTCTACCCTTATTACATTTTTGGCAATATGCCTAGACGTACTATCTCCGGAGCTTCTGAGGCTTGGCTTTCTTAAGGGGGAAGGGTTGTTTTAAGCTTTTTACACTGCTGTTGGGAGGAAATACTCCCCTGGAAATACTTCCAGTCCGCATGCAATGATCAGCACTTTGAAGAAATAAGTGAATAATGAATCAGAGCTGCAGAAAGCTTTTTAATGACAAGGAACCAAGATGAGTGACATTCAGCAAGGCTTTTTGGCTAGCTAAAAAGATTGACATTCAAATGTGAATTTACATACGCTTTCTGAGTTTTGGTCTAAAACTGGTTTTTGGTGATGTTTAATTCTGTCCTTGGTGATGTTTAATCCTATGTTTATTGATGGGATAATTTTCCCTATTCAGCATTCTTTGGGAGGAAAAAGGTTAATCTCTGTTCCTGAAAAGAAACTGGGTTGAGAAATCTGACTAGTTCCTGTGTCTTATTTGTTCTGGTAATTGGTTTAACAAGCAACAGCTACTGTTGTAATTTAATTATTTGTATTGTGTTTGAATTTTTTCCTGCCATGTGATTTCTTTTTCTATCTGGGGAGGGGGGTCTTCCTTCACTGCTTTAGTGGTATCTGGCACTGTTCTTTTGGGGTATATTTCCAAGAGGCAGGATGCAAGCTTGGCACTGATTTTTTTACTGCCTTTCTGGGGGCCATGTCACCTTTCCTTAAATCTGGATGATTTCCTTAGGATATCTTGTGAGGTGAGTGAGACCAGCTGGTATCTTTAAGTGGTGCAAATGGATCTAAGGATTGCTTTTCCTGGGTGTGCTCTTTCTTTGAATTTAAATGACCTCTCTGCTAAAAGGTTTCACTTTATGAGCAAGAGTTGGCTGCTGATAGTTATCATTGCATTTTAACTATTTTAATTCTTCAAGGTGCTCTTTCACCCTGCCTGATTTGTAACTCTGGCTTGCAGGTATTTTTAATTTAATGATTGGTATTTAGGGCAGCTTTTTGCAAGCAAAGAAGCTTTTTGTATTTTTGTACAGATAATCCTTGACTTACAACAGTTCATTTAGTGACCATTCAAAGTTACAATGACACTGAAAAAGTGACTTATGACCATTTTTCACACATACAACCAGTACAGCATCCCCAGTCAGGAGAAGCCAGGCGAGGAAAAGCTCCCCTCGATGTGAGTGACGTTGAGTTGGCCACGCCCACCCAGTCACATGACCACCAAGCCACACCCACCAACTAAGCCACGCCCAGAGAACCAGTTGTTAAAAAAATTGAATCCCACCCCTGCAGAAGTGGCCACCATTTTGGCACGACTTCAAGAATGTGGGTGTGCCAAAAATGGCAGCTATTTCCCAGAGGCAAGCAAGTGACCCAGGGATGAGTGGCCTGCCCTCCTTCCCCAATAATAGATATGAATAGGTGGGGAGCCCAAGGCCTATGGGGACTTAGCAGGGTATGCTGGATACAGAGGTGAGATTCAAAATTCCCAGCAACCAGTTCGCTGTGGTTCAATATATTTTCAAATCCCTGAATCTATCTACCTCACAGGGTTGTTGTGGTGAAAAAGAAGAGGAGGAAGGAGTATTACTATGATCTTTGCTGTGAGTTATTTACAAAATAATAAAGGTGGGATAAAAATCTTATAAACAAATGAATGAATGACTAGGCCTTTTGCAGCAAGCATGCCAGAGAATTTCTGACTTAGAAAAGAGGTCCAGACCAGCTTTCTTAACTGATTAGTTGTCAATCTTTGACAGACAGCTTTGTGAACTAAACGCTGGTATTGCTAAGGCAGAAATTATTTTCATTTCTGTCCTGCTTTGGAACCCTACTTAGCAATTTTCTTTTTACAGTCTCTTACCAGGGGTGGTGGAATATAGGCAGATGAAGTCACTCTCCACATGTACTCTCCGAACAGCATCAGTTTGGAATTGCACGGTGTGTGAATCAGACTGGAGAGAGGCAGCAGCAGAGGCAGCTGAGTCTTCTGTGTTTTCTATCATATACCCATTTTGCTCTTGTGAAACAAAATGTGGCAATAAACGATCATTATCAAAAGCCACTGACAGAACAGAGGTTACTCACACAAGGCTTTATGATCATCATAAAAGTACAACATAGCCTTTAGTTCCTGACAGGTTTCAATTAGACGAACTCCCAAGGTTTAAGATAAGGTTCAAAATTAGTTTTTCCCAACTGTTGTATTACCATTTATGGAAAGTCATTATTTCAGCACACCTGAAGATCACAGGTCTTGTGGAGATAAATAAAACCAGCAGTAAATATCTACAAATCACTTTGCCAAAAGCAGACGTTGGTCTAGAGCGGAAGTGGGGAATTATGGCCCCTTTATGACTTATGGACTTCAACTCCCAGAAATCCTGATACAGCATCGGTGATTCAGGAATTCTGGGAGCTGAAGTCCACAAATCATAAAAGCGCCATAGTTCCCCATCCCGATCTAGAGGTTGCTTGGTCAAATTAAGACTATGTGCAAGAGATTATATATTCCTGCCAAACACTCGCTTGCCCCCCCGCCCCCCCTGATCTCAACTTACCACCACGACAAGCTTGAATAATGACCACCTTGGGCTTTCCCCTCAAAGCTGGGCAATTTATGTTGTTGAAGGTGGAGAAGACAGTTTTGATGGAGAAGATGTCAGACTGTTTGTCTTTTGAATGGACTCCACAAAGGCTGTCCTGATACCCATGAGACATCAGCACCACAAACATTCCATCTGAGGTCTTGTGCTCTTCCCGAGCTGCAAATTTCTTCAAGCAAGTGGTTATACCCTGAAAGCAATGAAAAGAGAAGGTGGGTCAGGAGCGGAAATGGAATTTCTAACTAACTCTCAATTCATTATTAGAATTGAGAAGAATGGAGGTAGCCTTCTTGTAGTTGCACTATATTTAAATTATTCAAGCTTAGTAAAAATTCAATGCAGAAACAATTACCAGCTTTTTCTCTCTAGATTTGAATAGGAGGGATGTGCAGCAAATCTCCATATCTGAGATTGGTGAACACTGTCACGAATCTCCAATATGGCGATGGGGTGTGTGTATGTGTGTGTCCTATGTTCACAGCTGAATGGAAGGCTGACCTCCTCATGCTCTACAGAAGGAAAAACAAACATCCTGGCCAGTATAATAGTATATTCTCACTGGAAAGCTAGCCTCTTCAACTGGTTTTTTTTTTTGAGAAACAATTCTGGGAGATGAAAAAGAAGCAATAAGCTGGCAGTTGAAATTTAAAAAAGGAAGTCCAGGAGAGAAGTTCAATTACCAATTCAGGCACATTTTTCCTTATACTAAAAGGGTATAAACAACTTGGTAACATACAGTTCTTTGGAGTTGAAGTCCCATCAACTCCAATCAGCATGGCCATGAGCCAAGGCTTGCTGGGTTTATAATTTAAAAAATCCACATGGTATTAGATTGTCTACATCTGTGCTAAATATTATTGTGTAGGTAGTTTAACAAGATTGCCATGCTTTATTCAATTTTGAAGCTGCTTCAGTCCAATTAACTATGGGCAGCTAGAATTAATACACACATTGAAGGGCAAAATCAAAACTTCAACACCCATTCCTTGAATGTTAGTTTGTAAACTTAACTTTTTTTTTTTTTACCTCTGAGCTTAAATTGGTCTCTGTTTCCACTTTGTATCCCAGATCTTGTAGGAGAAGCGTCAACTGTTCCAAGTCTACCTCAGCTCCCAATCTATCATTCGAGTACTCAAATTTGATATTGCAGATTATCAAGGCCAGGCGAGTACGAGTCTTAGGATCATTGATAGGGTAGATCTGAATGGGGAAACAAAAGTGATTCATATCCTGAACTATAGTTATGCCAAGCATCCATCTAGTTTAGAGCTCTTTTAATTCTTATCAATCTTAGCCAGTGGTGGGGGATCTTGGAAATTAGTTTGGTAATATTTGAATGATCTTGATAGCACTACAAAATCTACAAACAAGGTTGACAGATACAATGGTTTTGCTAGCAGAATTTAGTGTTCAGAGATTATTTGAATCTGAAGATTTTTTCTACTTAACTAGAAAAAGGAAATTGCTAAATCAGACCCAAAATAGAATGACTTCCTATTTGCCATAGTGAGTGGCTAGGCACTTGAGGAAATCCCCAAGCCTGACTTGAAGGCAAGATTTCCTCTTCCTTCCCCTTCATGTAACTAGCAGCAAATATTCAGAGGGCAGGGCAATTCTGGGAAGCCAGAGTCCACTACTTTTGCCTACTTTTAAAGCCAATGAAGGTATTGTGGTCCCATTATATTTAAAGTCCCTTCATTTCATGTTGCCTATTTTATTTGTGTTAGATATGGAACAACAAAGGATTCCCAGCTCTTTTTTTTTGCTTTAGAAATAAAACAAGGTAATATTTCTAAAAGCTGGGGGAGGGGGGAGAACAAGAATTTAAGATATATTCAAAATTTCTGCTACAAAAGATGAATTTTCAGTTCACATCTGCTGCATGCAATAAAGTGCAGTATTTAAGCTCATTAGATCTTGGATAGATCTAATTAGGTTAGCCAACTCACCTCGGTGCCTTCAGTAGTCTGTATTTGCTGAAAATCATTCTGAGGACAAAGCCTGATCCCATTTTTAGATTTCAGAAACTGGACTTTTTCCTTTGAGATGTTACCTTCTATTGGCTGGCCAACTGGAGATGGAAGGAAAGGTGAACACTAGATTCAGGTTTTTTACCACAGTGAATTATTAAATATCACATGAGCCAGAGTCTGACCTTTTAAATTGCTAAATTACAATCCCTAGCAACCTGTCAGAAGGGCATTGAGAATTGTAGTACATCACAGGGACACTTGTTTTTTTTTGTCAGCTCCAACAGGAAAAAAATCAGTTAGCAATTAGCAAGTCTGGCCCTGAGAAATCTTATTAAATCTACTGCTGTAGCAGATTTAAAAAAACATGCAGAAAATTAAGCAGCATGAACAGGGAAATATCATCTTATGGTAAAGTTTCCTTTCAAAATGACTTATTACACCAATATGGCCAAATCTAACCAGCCCAAACAGTTTGGGGCACAACAGAAAGCCTTTGCATGATTCTGGGAGGGAGGCCAGTAATTCTGGCTGAAAGCTAGAGATTATGTTATAAGATAATAAATACCAGCAGGAACATTTTGGAGATCCAGTTGTTCAGCTAAGTAAGGATCTCGGGCCCGGAGGAAGTCAATAAAGAAGCAGCTAGCTTCAGGCCCCTTTCTCCTCACGTTATCGATCAACGTTCTTGCTTGCTCCTGCCTCTTATTTTTCACATTTACTTCTTCCAGCTCTTCATCACTCAAGACTCCCCGATGGAGCAGATCATCCAAGAGTTGGCTGATGACAGCTGGGTTACTACGTTCTATAAACTCAGGGCGCACTTCTTTCAACTTTTTGTCTGTAAGGAAAGCAATTACATTTTTAAAAATATATCACACTTGAAGAATTACAATTTTACTGAGATACAGATAGACCTTGACTTATAGTCTTTTCATGTTAGTTCAAAGTTACAACAGCCTTGGAACAAGTGGCTTATGACCTGCATTTGCATTCACGATTGTTCAAAAACCTCTTCACTCATGTGGCTGCAGTTTGGGCAATTGGCAACCTGCTTGCATTTACAATTGATTTGCAGCATTCTCCAGTCAAGTGATAGTAATTTGCTGTCTTTTGTTTTTTGCTAATTTCTGGCAAAAAAAAAAAGCCCATTGGGGAAGCTGGATTCATTTAATGACATGAATTGCTTAATAACCACCATAAAAATCAGGCCTGATTCAACTTGTAAATGCAATATCTTACAATAGAAATTATGGTCCCAATTGTGTTTGGAAACTGAGGACTATCTGTAATCTGTAATGTTGACTCTTAGATTCAAGTCTCACAAAGACTACACTGGGTATGTACTCTCACTGCAAGTGTTGATATATGTACAAGAATGCCAGAAAGTGGTTTATTAGTTTAGTGTGCCATGGAAACCACAACACATGATTAACTGCATTAGGATTCAGTGTGATGTGTAAACCAGATTTGTGTGTGTGTATGCTTTTTCTTTTCTCCAAGCAGAGATTTTGGGATTACAATTCCTATAACCCCCAAACAATATAAATCTGGAAGACAACTTTGATAAATAGGAGCAGGCAGTTAAAATATAAGTTTGTATGTACTGTTCCTACAATACATTTAACAAATCAATTAAATACGAGTAGCTGATTTATGCCACGTGCTAAGCTTGTCCAATGTCAATCTGAGTTTGCTTTTTTAGCTTAGGGCCTGTAAACTCTGTACATTTAAGTTAGTTTATCATTCTCTATTTTATATAAGCACAGCAAATGGGTTAATTCAGGAAACCAGTAAACATGTTGTATGAAAAGGGCACCACTTTCTCTTTTCCTAATGCATAGCCAATACTTTGACAGGTATTACTGGACAACATGTAGAAATAAATGACCCTAGGAAAACCGAAATGTATTTAGGGGAGAGAAAGGAAATATATATACCAGCTTCTTATCACTTAAACATATGCAGCGAAAATGTAGAATAAGCCCCATCTTAATTCAAGTCACCCTCTGCATTTGGCTGCTAGGTCCTGAAAATATAAGACTTGACTAATGTTGAAGTGGAAAGTCATAATTCAAGTGAGGGAGAATAGTGAGGAAAATGAACATCAGTTGTGGAGGGTAACCTCTTTCCTGAAAAGCAGCAGGCAGGATCTGTAAATGAAGTTACTTTATACTGAATCAATTCATTGGTCCAGTATGGTCTCTATATTGTCTCCACTAGAAATCCCCAATCTTTGGGTTGGAAGGAACATTTGAAAATTTTAGAGCATGTTTCTCAACTTTGGCAGCTTTAAAATTCTCAACCTTGGCAGCTACAAGTCCCAGAATCTCCCAGTCAGCAAGCTAGGGAAACTCTGCTGTAGACACTGTAGGAAGTTAGCACCCATCTCTCTCCTAGAAAAATGAAATATCCTCGGAAATCTTAAAAAGAAAGAATATTTCTCCTAAAAAGAGTAGAAACTCAGAAGCAGAAACTCAGTCCCCCCACCTTTGCTAATGGGCCATTACTCTGGCCTAGATCAGTCTATCTTACATAACAAAGGTCTCCAGGTAGAGCTATAGGAATTGCCCAAAGCCCTTTCATCACATCATCATCCAGCAAGGCTCAACCAAGCCTGGGACTCAAGACAGCCCACAGTTGCCCCTGCATGGCCCCATGGGAGTCTGACAACCAATCAGAATACAAGCTCAAATTCAAATCTCAACAGGGGGTATAAAACCCAGGCACTTTCAGCATCTCAGCCCTTCCTTCTTTGGAACTCCAAGCTATGTGGTCCTGTCTGTCATTAAATCATCTTTCCAAGCAGTCATCATGTTTCCAGTGTCTTTCTTCCTCACTTAGAACTGAACCCAGAAGGGTATTTCTTCCAACAACACAACAAAATCATGGAGGAAAGTTTGCCCAATTGCAAATAGTTTGCACTAATGGGAAATCACTACCACCATTTATTCGAAGGTGTACTGGAGAGTCCCTAACATGGAGGCTCATTTCCAGCCCAAACACTGAGTTGCAGTCACATTCACGTTCTGATTTTCTAAGAACCTGTACTGGGCCCAAAGCCTAGTGTCCGCCCATCCACCCCATCATTCATTCAAAAGAAGCAGAATAAAAAAACAACAGGTGGAGCCAGCAGCCTTGTGAATGTCAAAACATTAAGTTAGCGGGCAAATTGGTGCTTGCAGGCCTTGCATTAATTTTAGATCTGTTCATTCTCGTATCTCATAAGACATAAGTACTGTATCAGGAATCTCAAAACAATAAAACAAAACTCGCAATGAGTTCCAGTTGCTGCCCTTCGATACTTTCTATCTAAACGATGCTGCCAGCGCCTTGATAGAATCCTGATCTTTTTTTGTTATACACAGGAAGGCAGCCAAAGCAACCCAGTTTAGGAATAAAAGTTCTTTTTTTTTTTTGCACATTGCAAGGCCCAGAATGGGTGGAAAAAGGAAGGCCCCTCCTCGCATAGTACATGTAAAAAATGCAGCGCCAAGAGAGCGAAAAGGAGACGGTAAAACCCCCACTCTCGCTCTTTCAGGATTTAGTTTTAAGGGGAAAAAAAGGTGTGTGGGGGCGGGGAGCGGTAGAGAAATATCTATGATCTTACCTGCCATGATCCCTCAGCTAATATTGGGCAGCGGGGAAGAAAAATGTTCGACCCAGCAGCAGTTCCAGTTTGGGGCAATTGTGAAAGTGAAAGATATCACACCCGTTGTTTCCTTTTCCCGCCCATGAATTGAACTCCGTGAGAGTATCCCGGAAACAGAGAACCATTTCGCGAGAAGCCACTGAATACAACGGGCTCCTATATTTCATAAAGTTTTGGGTCTCGGCTGCTTTCCTTGTTATTTTCACCAAATAAGCTGGAAAGGACGTTGCAAGATTGTATTAAAAGTGGCGCCAAATAGAGGCAGCGGGCGCAATCGCCTCTTTCAAGATATATTCAGCCACGTCGACAGGCAAAATATGTTTCGTCCTTCAGAATTAGGGCTTGCTTTGAATGTTTATGTGCCATCAAAACGTATTCCAACTCTTAACAATCACATCGATAAGATTTTCTCCAAATTGAACATTTATTAAAAATGGTTCAGTCCCCTGTTTTTTGTGTTTGAAATGTTCAGCTCAGCTCAGTGGATTCCTTATTTGGTAGCATTTTATCCTACCAAGCTGCAGGAAAGGAAACTTAGAAAGCTGAGGCATTCCCAGGCACTGCTGAAAAATCTGGCTTGTTCCCCAATGTTTTTTCCTATTTCTAGTCAGCTGACATAAGAATGCATAGCTCTCAGTCAGAACTGGATGTTTGTGGTTTTCTTCCCTTGTCTCCCCCCACCCCCCCAATCTCCTTTTATGCTATTCTTTCTTTAGGTTGCAAACCAATGAGGTAGATATAAAAATCTTCAAACAAAAGAACAGAACTGAAGAAGCTTCTTGGATGAGAGGTGAAACGTCTTCAAGGAAAAACAAAAAGTCCAGCTGCTTTTTGAAAAAGCACCTTTGGGACAACCATGAGCTGGATCATTGAGAATCCACAGCCATTAAAATGAAAGAATACTCTCTCAAAGTGGTGAACAAATCTTTTTTTAAAATACAATAAACAAAATTACATATCACAGAGAAAACAGGGAGGATATTAACAGTTGATTATTTAATTGGTTGCTGAACAAATCTATACTCTGTTACAAAATGGTAAAAGGTTTGTTGCAGCGGGGCCAGATGGCCTTTGGGAACATTTTATTCCACAACTGCTACATCAAGATGAAAAATATCCTTTTCTGTACCCTTCTCCTTCTCTGTTGAGTAACATAGAGTTCTGACCCCAAACTCTTTAGGCCTTTTAACATAGTTAAAAATACAATTACTTTTCAAATATTTAAGTCAAATTCAGAACAAGGTAGCAAACAGGAAAAATCCTTTTTTCTAGTATTTTGATATGTTCTGTGGGACTGAACTCATCAAATACTTCTTAAAGAGAGTGATGCTGCCTAAATAAGATGTTTATTTGTTCACACTCTTCCCTCAAATGGACTAGATGGGACTTCTGCTTTCTTCTTGCTGAGGTCTAAAGGGATCACTGCAAAGAATTGTGAGGGTCAGTTCACTGGACAGAGATTTCACACTATACCAGTTTGGTATAGTGTTGAAAGTGCTAAACTAAAAAACCAGGAGACTGGGTCCTAAGCCTCCCTTACACATGAAAAGCAACTGGGTGACTTTGGGTTAGTCACACTCTTGTCAGTCCAAGCCACCTCACAGGGTTCTTGGGGAAAATAGGTGGCAAGAACACTGTATAGGTAGTCCTCAATTTATGACCATAATTGAACCCCAATTTCCGTTTTAAGTCATGTAAAGCGGGTCATCACATGGCTGCACCCAATTTGATGATCTTTTTTGAGGTAGCCATTAAGTGAATGTGGCAGTCGTGAAGCAAACCCATTGTTCACTATACAGTTTTTTTATTGGAAACTTGATGTAACACAGGCTTGTGGGGAAAACATCATAAATTGCAGTCATGTGACCATGGAAAGCTACCAATAGTTGTAAATGTGTACCAGCTGCTAAGTGCCCAAAATATGGTCATGTGACTGCAGGGGGATATCATCATTTCGAAACCTGGTCCCATTTTCAGAGTTTTTTTGTAAGTTTGAATAGTCACTAATCTAAGGTCATAAGGTGAGGACCACCTGTATTATCTATGTTTGCTACATTGAGTTATTTGTAAAAAAAGGCAGGAAAAAGATCTAGTGATAATAACATTAACAATAATTCTACAAAATGCATGGGGCCATTTAAAGGCAGTCTTGCTGGTCGCCAAGACTGAGATGGAAAACATTTTTTAACCTTACATTGGTTAAAATTCTACTAAAAAGTTGGGCAATCTGCAAATTGCTGGAAAAGACTACAGAAGACCGGCACAACGGCAGGAGTCATGTTGTAACGGAACAATTTACAAACATCACAAATAGATACTTTATTGGCCAAGTGTGATTGGACACACAAGGAATTTGTCTTGGTGTAAATACTCTCTACACATAAAAGAAAAAAGGTAAGAGTCAATATAAATCGTAAGTATACAAATGACAAAGTTACAGTCATACAGTCACAAGTGGGAGGGGATGGGTGATAAGGAGTGATGACAAGATTAACAGTAGTGCAGACTTTATAATAGTTGAACAGCGTTGAGGGAATTATTTGTTTAGCAGAGTGATGGCTTTCGGGAAAAAACTGTTGTTGTGTCTAGTTGTTCTGGTGTGCAATGCTCTATAGTGTCGTTTTGAGGTTAGGAGTTGAAACAGTTTATGTCTGGGATGTGAGGGGTCTGTAAATATTTTCACAGCCCTCTTTGACTCGTGCAGTATATAGGTCCTCGACTGAAGGCAGGTTGGTAGTAACTGTTTTTTCTGCATACTTTCACATTATCAAATATGGCCAGTTTCACAAATACGGAGTATTCAAAATACTCACAAACTCCTTGCCGTAGATTAATTTAGATCTCTCCTTTTAAAAGTGGTATTTAATTACAACAAGCATAAAAATAGGCATTAAGTAAATCACTCTAAAGTAACTCTTTAAAATAATTTTAAATAAATTTTAAAGATTGTTAAATAATCCAAACAATAGCAAAAATATATAGTTGAAACTTATCCATTTTCTTTCTTTCACCTTCATCTTGACCAGCAGCAACCTAATTATGACTGGTTTGTTATTACTTTCGATCAATCACTTTTAAAGAAGTCCAAGTTGACCCACTGGGTCATCTTTTCAGGGATGTTTCCATTGCAAATCCATTACGTCTTCAACAATGACAAAGCTTCTAATACTCTGTCTTCACTGGAAATGTTGGGATACTTTCAGAGATGTATCTGCCTTGCAAATAGTCCATGTTGAACTCTATAGTATGGTCAATCATCAGCAGAGATGTTTTATGACATATTGTATTACAGGTAGTCCTGGACTTACGACCACAATTGAACCCAACATTTCTGTTCCTAAGCAAGAGTTGAGCTTTGCCCAAATTTTGTGATCTTTCTGGCCACAGTTGTTAAATGAACCATTGCAGTTGTTAAGTTAGTAACAAAGTTGTAAAGTAAATCTGGCTTCCCCATTGGCTTTACTTGTCAGAAGGCTGCAAAAGGTAATCACATGACCCAGGGACACTGCAACCGTCATAAATATGAATCAGTTGCCAAGCATCCAAATTTTGATTACGTGACCATGGGAATACTGCAACGGTTGTAAGTGTGAAAAACAGTTATATAAGTCAATTTTTTTCCAGGGATATTGTAACTTTTTGAATAATCACTAAATGGTTGTAAGTAGAGAACTACCTCAGTGTTCTGAATTGGTATATGATCATTTTAATTCATATATTGTTTTATAAAATTTACTATATTTCAATTCCATGGGAGTCATAGGTCCTGGACTTTGGATGAATTCTGCAAGTTAGCTCATTTGGGTTCCTTGGTTCAAAAACAGCTGCTAAACGATGCATTGTTTTGCACAGTTAAAGGCTACAGGAACAAAAGTTTTATTACTATATGGATTGTCTAAAGAAGCATGTGACCTTGTATTATCAAGAATTATGGAGTGGGGGCTGGCTGAACAATTAAGAAACACTGGAGGGTGAAATCTATTTCTCATCTGGAGCAATGAATTGTCATATATATATATATAGAGAGAGAGGCAAACAATGTATATACAATATATATTGTAGGGTTAAAAATAAATAAACATATATACATGTGTAGATCACAGTTCCCTGTTAACCACAAGTAGATTGTCACATGCTCTCTAGTTGAATAAACGGGCAAGATTCTGAGTATCTCAATATCTATGTGCTCATTTAGGTCAGAAGTGGGAAACCTGAGAGCGTATCCCATAAAATGTACCTTCTTGGAGTTTGCATTAAATGACTGGTAGTACTGGAGCAAACAGTTGGTTGAGCCAGAGCCAAAAGTGAGTAAGACTCCTCTGTTTTGCTTTCTGACACTCCTTTTCTCTAACACCTCTCTTTTCTCTCATTCTCTTAACTCCCACCTCTAACTCTTCCAAGCAGCAAATCACTAGGGAAGGACTGACAATTTGACCGATACACTAAATGGATCACTCGCATGGAGCTTTTGAAATCAGACCATGAGTCACGTACAACAGTAAGTCCAATGAGAAAACTTCCAATCTTGAAGTTGTGAATGTTCCAACCTGGAAGTTTTTAAAAAGAGGTTGGATAGCCACTTGTCTGAAGTGGTATAGGCTTTCCTGCCTAGGCAGGGGGTTGGACTAGAAGACCTCCAAGGTCCCTTCCACCTCTGTCTGTTCTGTTCTGTTCTTGGTAGGATAGTTTGTGTGGATCTGTTCAGAAATTCTAGCGTGGATGGAGTGCAATGAAATTGCAAACGGCAGTGATGAATTCTTGGGGCTGATCTGCATGAACCCAGTGCCCTGCATCAGGAATATGCTGGATTTCAGCATCAGGAAAGAGCCGTTTGATCTCAGGGTAGTTATTGGAACTGCAGAAAAGTAGACACAGAAATGGGAAGGAAATAGGAAAAATTGCAAGAAGAACTTTGTGGAGTATATAAAGTGTATCAATCAATATAATAATAAAATAACTTTTGTATATAAAATAAAGGTAACTAGTTGTTTGTGAAGGAGAAAAACTAAAAATCAGTAAAAAACACTCAGTGAAAAAGGATCTTATGATTTCACCTGGCTCTAAAAAGCAAGGTGGAATGGTAGACCATTCTGGAAGCCAAAGTTAAACTGCAAGACTATGGTAGAAACATCCACCAGATCTAAACTTCCAAATATATTTGCTCTAGTTGTGCAAAATACAATTCAGATTAAATCACACCTATGTTCAAAAGCATCATCTGCTGACACTCAGCAAGATAAATTTACCTTTTGGGATATGTAGATTACTGTCTACTGTTTACTGGAAATTGATATGCAATGTAAAAAGATTTCAGACTGCAACCCTGCAGACATTATTTAAAACAATGCTCCAAGTCTCTTACCTAATATAGCCAGATTTGGAACCCCCAAGAAAGAGAGTAGGCCCTAGATAAGATGTCTGGAAGTCAGGAAAACTCATGATGTCATTCAGATGCTGTGAAATGGCCTCTAGATTTACACGCCATACAAACTGGTCCTCAGCATTCACTAGGTTTGTAAGTAGAAAATGGAGGATAGTTGGCTCCTACACAGAAAAAAAAAAGTACTGGGATGATGGCTTAAATGTGAAACATAATCCTTGGGCATGTAATTGTGTGTGAGTACATTCACACAAAGCTGAATTTGGTAAACTGATTTATGTTTTGTCCCTATAATATGATCAGACATGCCCAGCCCTGAAGAATGATATATTCTGTTTTTAAAAAATACTGTACTATATTTCTTTTCCCACACTTTTGCAAGCCTCACTTAGGGAGGTGAAGCAGCTTGAATCTGAAATATATAAACTGTGCTCTTTGACAAAAGCACTTTACCTGAATAGTTGGGCGCAGTTGTTCTTCGGCCATACGGCGTGCAGTGGAACGAGGAATACCTCTAGGGATATCCACTGCTTTCATGGCAGCGATGTAATTCTGAAAGCCACTGATATCTTTTGTTTGGCTAGGACTGATGTCAACACACACTAAGCGCTCTACCAGTTCTGGCTGCAAATGAAACAAATTGGGGGATGGGGTAGGTGGGAAGGTCACAGGAATCATTGACTGAAAGAGCTGTCACACCAAGTCCCTAGCCTAGACTCTAATAAGAATTCTAAGTTAGGAGCAGATTCAGTGTATCAGACAAAAAATGTTATTCTGTTTCAGTTTCCATCACCGACATTGTGAGAAGGCAATTGTGTTTCAGAAAAAAAAGAGATTTAAAACTTTACCTTTGACTAGAATCTATGTCCCTTATCCCCTCTTCCAGAAGAGGGAATGGGTCAAGTGTGACTAACAGTTGCTGCACCTATTCTGCATCGTGCTCTTCTGAGTGTACGGACTAAAAGAGTACGTGTGAAATTATACTTAAAAATTGTAAAATTGGCTACAAGTCTGTTGTGAGTTCACAATTGTTTCAAATTTTACAATAGTTACCTTCTCTATCCCAGATAATTAATGTTGACTGTCCTTGTTAATTTGAAATACATTTTGAGGTATTTCAGTTCTTGTCTGTTCTGAACTTGTACAACTGTTTAAGCCTGGGATTTTGTAGCTAATTTTTTTTTAAAAAAATAGAGGAAATGTTTTTTAATGCACCTTTTGGGTGCTGTGGCTTCAGAACACACACACACACACACACATCTCGATACATCTATCTATCGATATATATACCCAGGTTTTCCAGTGGTTTCCAATGTCATCATCTTCCCTTTCTTCTCACCTTTCTCAGTATAGACTTTGTCTAGAGAGCTAGGTCCTCATATAGTATTCCAAATATGATAATTTGATCGTGCAGATTTATGATTTAAGTGGCAACCCCAGATCAATTTGTTAGATTTGTTTTTACATCAGTTATCCATAAAAATTATAAACTGTTATATTATTGTTCACAATATTATATGATAGGATTTCCTAAAGCATCCGTCCATCCACCCACCCATCCACCGATCATCTATCTATGATATCTATTATACACAAATCTTTTAGTTGCAATGGATGCAAACTGCATGTGCCCCTTCATCCCCATACACAAATTTCTGATAATAAAATATTTCTACATCCTAAGCATCTACTTTTCCTCCTCTCTCAATAATCAAGTCCCCTTTTGTCTAAAAGGCCACATTATTCCAATACCAACAGTGAAATAATACCAGAAGAAGAAATTAGAGGTGCATACCCATTGTAACACGAATACCATAGCTGTCTTGCCGCCCATGCTGTGGCCAATTAAGACACACCTATTGAGATGCAGCTGGTTCAGAAAGAGACGGATGTCAGCACTCATTGCTTCATAGGTCATGATGGGGCTGTGGGAGCTATCCCCATGGTTGCGGGCATCTATTGTTAGCACCTATCTGGGCAAGAGATGAGGAAAGCCAAGAGGTTGGCAAATATAAGGCCTTACTTACTTAAGAATCACCAGACCTATATTTCAAACAGATACAATGAAATTATGATGATCCACCAATTCTAGCTGTTGAATTTTCCAGTAACCTAGAGATTCTTCAAAGGTAGACTCATTTAGTGCACAGCTGTGCAGTTTAGTAGTTTAAACATGTCACAATTGCATAGATGATTATTACCAAGTCTGACCACCTCAGAAATTGTTGCAATACATACATTTGAGGAAGTTGCAGAAAAGTTACTAATACTAATAATTACTATTTCCATCCCATAGAGATTCAGGAACAGCGTTGGATCAAAAAGTTCTTCAAAGCTGCAAACTAGGCCTTGTAGGGGGAGTTTAGCTCCTTTTAATAGGTTGATTATCCAAGTTTCCTTTTCTTCTCTGTTTCTCTTGCATAGTTTTTATATATATATATTAAATACTTAATATAATTATTATTATATAATTAATATAATATTTATATTAAAACTATGCAAGGGAGAGACAAAAATCAACCAAGATTTTTACAAAGTGATTAATTTAGAGCTTTGGGCTTTAATTCCAGCCCAATCTGGACTCATTTTGAATCATGGGAAAAGATTATCTTAGCTAAGTTTGCAGACTTCCAAAAAAAGGCATTGCATAAGATTTATATTCCAGTTACCAAATTATAAAAATCGGCAGAATAACCTGCAGATTCAGTGTTGTAAAAAGCAGAACAAATTATCTGATAATTTTTAAAAAGTTGCATTTCTTTGGTTTCATTTATTTTTATTTAGTTATTATATTTATATGCCACCCAACTTGCTGTCCAGAACAACTCAGTTTTGATGCATTATGTACTATTAAGCAATTGTAATCTTTCCAATATTATCCGAAAAGCTCATATTTTTGTACTCATTAAGTTGTCCCAGAGCATGAAATCTAATGACAGAAATCTAGAGGACTCTTAGTTCAAATCAGTCCAATTATTTTTCATTAAGCTAATAAAAAAGCTTTGTGATTCCACACCTTGTTTTGGATTAACATCCTCCTTCTCTTATATACATGTACTTCCCTTGTTCTTCTTTGCAACACTATCTTAATCCCATCTGAATGTTTTGAGATTGTTTATGAGATAATGGACATGATGAAGCTGCAGCAAGAGACTTTAGAAAGAACAAAGACACTCTGTTGTACTGAATTTACAGCTGCATAAAAAAAAACCCCATAAAAATCTATGGCTCACCTGAGACAGACTGAGAAATATTTTAGAATGTTCTGTTCAGTTATACAAAATCCTGCAAAAGAACTGATGACTATAGTATTCAACATAAAAATGGCTCATTTTTGGCAGCAGCTAACTTGCAAACCAGTAGCAGCCCTTCTCCAGATGACCATACATCTTGTACCCACCTTGCGACCAGTTTGGAGCACTAACTTTTTTGCGAGGGATGAAAAATTGGATTTGTTTCCAAACAGCCCATGCAGGAAAACAAGTGGAGGATCTGATGAGGGTCCATCAAAAATGGCATATGATAGAGGCACTGGCCTACAAAAAAACCAAAAGCCACGATCAAGTTGATGGTTAGGCTAGGAGACTGGGTCTGCAAAAATGTGGATGACCACAAAGTGGCAGATAGTACCTGAGATATGTACTAGAAACCCTCCTTGCTGCCATCCCACGACCTTAATTTTTTTCAGCTAAGACTAGTAGCAAGGTTTGTAAGATTTATAAAGACAAATTAATATTAGGACAGATTTATGAATGACTATTAGCTAAAAGGAATCTCCAGGAAGGTTCTTCAGGAAGTCACCTTCTACATGAGGTATTGTAAAAAAAAAAAAAGTCATTTTACTTATGCCCTGCTTGTGGGTTTCTTTGCAAAATCTGAAAGCTTCTATAAGGACCAGTAAGGTAGAATAAGCAGACTATAAACATGATTTTGGTTATTGATGCTCTATCTCCCCCCCCCCCCCCCCCCAGTCTTTGAGGCAGTTTACTATCAACATAAATCCATTTCAAAGGAATCAATAAATAGCAGCATTTTAAAACAGAATCATCTGAAAATATTCTGCATCTGTATGCTGCCATCTAATGGTCTTATGAGTTTTTACAACCAAACTGGTAACCATTGTACAGGTATTTCAGACAGAAAGCAGCAAGGCACTGCACAAATTCCAGGTAAAAGGGCACCACATTTCATTTTAAGGAACAATCTCTAAAAGCTTCCCTATAAGTTTAAGAAGATTCTAGGATCAAACCAAATCAGTTATGAAAGATGCATTACTTTCTCCTGTTGACACAGATCAGGCATCAACATATTGAACTGTCAAACTATTATGTGTGAGAATAAAAGAAGAGAATAACTAAACACCAAACTATGTAATAACAGCAATATAGCACTGTTGATAAATCTAGGAATAGATTTATATTTCTATTCATTTATTCCACTTCCATGTCCGTAACTTTTCCTTGAAATGCCATTTGAAGCTGGCCTGCTTTAAATTTTAGGTTGATACGAAACATTATTGTTTAAAGTTGGAAACGAAAATATGCTGACATGTTAACTGTGGCGGCGGCTTACTTTACGGGACTCCAACAAGTCACCATTATCCAGAACCAGCATCATCCCCCTTTGCTTCGAGGTGGAGACCAGGAGATGAAGGGGATATATGGCAATAATGTGGGGTTTTCTTGCCTAGGTCAGTTTTGGTCTGACTTTCATGAAGACCATTTCTACCGCCCCATCGCAGCTGACCGGCGAAAAAGGGGAGGCTATTAGGGAGGCTGTTAGCCTTTACTATCCTTTTACATCTCTATGATGACTACATCCGGTCCATGATCCTATCACAACCGGGAACATGGAGGCTTCATGCACCGGCCAGGCCTTTCCAGCAGGTTCGCTCTCCCCTTTCCAATTTCCACTCCCTTCCCGAGCTCTTACATAGTGGCGCGGCCCGCGAAATCCCTTCTTTCCCGGGCTGCGATACAGAGACGGCATCGGAGTATCTGGGCCCGCGTCCCGCGCAAAAGAGAAAGCGGAAAGCGAAGCATCATTGGCCGGGTGTAGCGGTCACCAAGGTGACAAAGAGACTACAATTAATGAAGGGGCGTAGCCGCAGATCTACTGCCGGGTCGGTTGCTAAGATGTCCGATGCCGTAGAACGGGTAGGTTCCATGCTGGCTCGGGAATTCTGGGAGTTGAAGTCCACAAGTCAAAAGGGCCATAGCGTTTCTCACCCGCTCTATAGAAGAAAGTAATTGTCCCTTCCGGCTTTGTGGGACGCGCCCACTGGAGTTTGTCTGTCACCAGAGGGAGCTACCAATGCCCCTATTCGTTGTTTGGTTGCTAATATTGTAAAGCCAAGTTTCGGAATTGCACAAAACTCTTTTTTTCAAATAATACTTCTAAAATACATATAAAATATCCAGGAAAACATTAGGATGGATAGCGGTGAAAGGTTTTCTTAGGGAAAAAAAAGATTCCCCACAAGTCAAGATAAGGTCTCTTGGAAACTGAACCCCATCCATGCCTGTTGATTTCAGGCAGTACTGAAGTGCAATGCCATTGCTCTGTTCTGCAAGATACACAACTTCCCAATCTCATTTTTATCTGCAATATTGAAGTCTCATCTGAGAAGTAACTTTTTTGAGATGAATTCAATGAGATTGTTTGTAGGGCAGGGGTCCTCAAGATGTGGCCTGGGGATGCCTGGATGTCTCTCCGAACTTTTCAAGTGGTCCATGAAGTCAAATATTGTAAAAAAAGTTTAGTTTTAATTTCTAATTCAGTAAATATCAATAGATATAGTCCACATAAAACCAAAGCTTCTTAGGGTCCTCAATCATTTTTAAGAATATAAAGGGTCCTGATGTCTAGAAATTTCTCAGGCAACATGTTTATGTGGAGCTGAAAACGTATTTCCTGAATTTGGGAGAGGAAAATGCTTTTACCTCTGCCAAGTATGGGGGTTTTTTTTGGCCACCCGCAAATACAAATCACCAAATAATTCAGGCAAAAAAACCCCCATCTATTGGTGGGGGGAGAGGGGTTATATCACATCTTTTTATAGGGTATAGAAACAAATGTTAACATTTGCTATATGTGATGCACCAGAAAGCAACAAATCAAACAGACATTTATTAAACATGAGAACAAAACAATAGAAAACATTGATCCTAGAAAATATGCCTAAAAGGGCAAATTTATGGGTTTTGTCATCTTCCAGTCCAATTGGTATCTTTCTTAGCATAGTTTCATGTTGGTTCTCATATTTGATGAGTGCATGTCAGGCGGCTCAGTTTTATGACTGGTTATGGCAGGGCCATGTGAACACAATTTGTGATGTTTTTTGCCAGTTTCCTGCAAAATATGCCCATTCAGATGAATTGGGTCACTTAACAACCAGTGTGTTTGTTTAACAATTGCAATGTTTGCTTAATGACCATCATGTTTCCTCAACAATTGCTGAAAAAAAGTCTGGAAAATTACTTCCAATCATTGCTGACTTACAACTATAGCGACTTCACAATTTTATTCCTGGACTCAATTACAGTTGTAAGTTGAGGAATGTCTGTATTCAAGGATCTCCAGAATATGCTCCCAATTGTTTAATTGCTGAAAAGGTTGGTTCTTGCTATCAAAAGAAGAAATGACTTGGGTTAAAGGGAAACCTGTTTTCCTCAACTTCAATAAAGAAATATGGATGCCATGCTAAAATGCTAATATCGCCTTTATTAAAAGGCTAATAATGAAGCCTAACATTCCATTTAATGCTAACACTAAGACCAAACTGTTTGAGAACCACTGTTCCAGAGAAATAGAAAAAATTCAAATATGATTGTTCAAAGCTCTTCCCTTTGCCTTTTCATTCTCCATTGTCTCTAAAAAAAGATGTTTTAGTAAAGGAAATCATTTGAATATTGAGCATTTTGTTCAGCATTGCAAGACCAATCCATATTCATAAAAATGAATGTAGGCTTTAAGCTGTCTGGGGTGTTATTTACTGTGCATTTATTTAATATTCATAAAATATAAAAATGTTTTTACTAACTTTTAGTTCACCCAAAGGATTTTAGTTATTGACTGGATTAGTAGTATAATAAATATTAATAGCTTTTAGGCAAGCAAGAGGCCACTTTATTTTAATCATTAGCTATTTCCTGCATGAGGGAAAGAACAGAAAATTCTTCCTGCTTCTGCCTTCCTATATACAAAGCTGTTGACAGTAATATATGGAATTAAACTGACTTTCTTTCTCAAAGAAAGAAATAGCTAATAATAGCTAATGCCTCTTATTTCACAAATAAAATATACTTATTGGGGAAGCAGGATTCTCTATGTTACTATTTTCATGTAGCACTCTACAGTACAAACCAGAGGTACAATCTTGCACTATTTAAGGCTTGGTAATCTTAATTTTCATTTCTAATTGCCCCTTTTTAATTCAGAAGAGTTACAAATAGGATATAGTAAGAACTTGTCTCAGCAGGTGGCAGCACACATCCAATTATTGTCTGAGCCAAGCAAGATGGGAGATTAATATTAGAATTGGAGACCACCAGAAAATCTTAAAGTGTAGACTAGACTGGGAATTCAATCTTAGAACAAGAAAAATGGAAAACTGCTTTGAAAATGTTGCTAAAATCATATGGATTTGTCCATCAGGAGCTGAAACTGACTTGGAATGGAACTACTTGTGCAGTGAGGATGTAGTATTTGGATTGGTCATGATCATTTACAAGTTTATTGGAAGGATTTCGTTTATACACATTGTAAGAACAGCATTAAAGTGGTTAGATCTCTGTCTAATCTAGGCATGGAGCTATCTTCCTCAATAATCTGAAGCTCATAAATCACATTGAGGCACCTTGCTTTTTTTTTTTTTTGCTTCATGACTTCTCATGATTGCAGCAATAAACCATCAGAATTCAATGGTACAGATTGAACTAAACTTCTATTGGGATTAATACCCCTTTTTATTTTAGATATAGTGGAATGTCTTTTGCAGTCTTTGGAGGCTGAAAATATGAGAAAGAATAAACACATATTTCTTCTCCTGTCCTAAAAAATTATTATTTGTTCATTTTCATAAATCAGCTGTTTTGCTGTGCATTAAATTTTCATACCTTTTACTGGTCCAATTTATATTGTGGAACTGTGGAAGCTGATTGATAGATCTTGTAATACTTTTTACTCTCTCTGTAACTTACCAGCTCCTTTCAGAGCAAAACTTTAAAACATCCTTCTGTGGAAAGTTTATAGAATATGCCTGGTTCACACAACCTGCTAAACCAGGTTAAAATTAAATTAGATAATTTACAATTCAGTGTTTTGTGGAAATTCAGCCACTACCTTAGCATGTTGTGTTAGCTAAGCAATCCTGTTAAACCACAATTTGTTTGCATCATGTGCCATGTGAATGCAGCACTTATGGTTTATTAACCTGATTTTTGTGTGGTGTGAAACTAATTAGATAATAGTGATAATGCAGTTGCCTCTGAATATGTGAATGTGACTTCTGAAACCACATCTATTGTATGCAACCAAGAGATTCCATAGTAGTAGACATGTTTTCCTCATTTGATACACCCATTTTATTTTTACCACAGAACTGTGATATTAACTAATAATAAATGATAATAGATATCTGGAACCCCAACAACTACTATAATGAGTGCAGAACTACTAATCATTAGACTCATTCTGTTCTTGTTTAGTTGCTATCTGATTCACGGGTCAAAAAAGAAAAGCCATCTATAACCTGGAGAATAGCTCTTTGCTCTTTGGTATGATTAAGATCCTGTCATAAACTCCAACTAGATAGTGAAGAAAACATGGAAGATTGGGACCTCCCTCATCCAAGAGATCCAGAGACCTGTGTTCCTTCCCAGTTCTCCCACACCCTTGCTCCCTATTAGAACTGCTGCCTTTGAAGACTGGTGAAGAGTTAAATTACAACCAGGCAGCAAGTTGGCTTGAGGCCAAGTATCTTCCATCTGTCCTGGTATCGGTCATGTGCTCTGAGTGTGGCAATCACAAAACATATTCTTTGTGCTGGAGTGAGCTGCATAGAACAGTGCTTTGTTGTCCTGGTGAGGACAGACTCCACCACTTCTGGAGTGCTTATTGAATTGCGTTCAGCTGGTTGTCACCTTTTCTCCCATCCTCTCTCAAGTGCAATTAGCAACTGAACAGAGTTACGTGACCCAGAACAGGTTCCTCCTGGTTCAACTGGTAGCTGATCCTCCCAGGTGTTTGGGTCTTGATAACCAATTCCCCCTACCCTAAAAAGTAATAAATTGGGCAAGAGTGATCACTAGTAGGAATTTTGAAGGTTGTAATTTGAATGTATCTGGAAAGCATTAGGCTAGGAAAGAAAGCCCTTAAAGCAAGTGCTACATGCTACATCTAAGCAGAAAGTGAACTCCCCAAATTAGCCATCTAGTTTGTGGTATTTTTGAAGCCACATTTTCAAAAACATTTCATGATAAATTACCTTCTGAGAAAATTCATCTGAGGTTAATGCATAAATTACTATGAAAGAAGGATATCCGAGATGAAGTTATCCTTGAGTTGAACTGTATTTCTGATCATGTCATAGACATGTCAAATAAAATATCAATTTTTATTACAGTCTTTGACCAGTCTTTACAATAAAAAGAACATAGTAAAAATGAGAAAGAGTTTAGCACAGCAATTTGTTATTGGGAAAGGGTCATGGACATGTCTATACAGGATTTGGAG